TAGCCTCATTGTAAATAATAATCATGGTGGTTTTGATAAATCATATTTATTCAAGCGAAACCCATATGCTTTTATTTGTTTAATCGAATCAGTATTTTCGTAATCGATTATAGGTTATGCTTGTTCAAACTGTTATATTGACAGTATACAATTGTGTTTCTTTATTTGTAGAGATATTCTTGGAAATGATCACATTCCAAGTTGTTGTTCTTGTTCATACTTTATTTATATATGATTTGAAAAAGATTATAAAAGTAAAAGAATTTTATGAAAAAATACCTGGTGTTATAAATTTTCTCAATTTTTAAAATTAATAAAAAATTTACAATTTATTTTACAATTTGTCCAATAACTTCTCTTAATAAAATATAATTAAATGTATTAACACAATAATCATTTTGATTTATAAATTAAATAATAATATAATAAAAAAAATGTCTTATAAGAATTACATAATACGTTTGAATAAAGAGATAAGATTCAATTTTTTTCTAAGAATTTTCAAACAATATAGTATCTTATTAATAAACTTTTATAAGAATAGAAATAAATTTAAAAACTTGAAAAATGTTCATCTCGTATAAAGGCGTTTTTAGGCGGCAGAACGGATTCGTCCGTCACGGCTGAGACTTCCGTTCTTTGTTTGCAGTTTCTATTTCAGCACGTCCTCGACCAACCACAAAGGAAGACACCAGTTATCGAACACATCGAGCCAATCGTTTACCTCGAAATTACGTTTGTGTATCTTCTTTTTCGATAACGCGATGCAAAACGAAATGAAAACGCCATCTAGTTAACACAAGAGTATATACATACAAATGAATCAATTTGATCGTGGGTAAGTAAAAATGTTCAGTGTTGTACATCTCACTAGAGAATCTCCATTGTTATCCTAAATTAAGGTTGATGTCATTCACTATGACACTTAGTCGATCTCTATCAATATAAACTTATATCGCGACAATAACGTTAATTCAAGTATAAATGATATATAGTCGATGCAATTCATGACACGAACAATATAATTTAGTTGATCGAATGCGTTTCGGAAATGTTAAATTTAGGTTTCCTGTGCATATTGTAAATCGAACAAGGTTAATAGCTCGTTTCCTCTTTCCATCATGTAATTATGATGGAAATTGGTGGTGAATTCGAACATTTGGTAATGTTAATTAATATTGCTAGATAATAAATTTTTGTTTATACAAAATTTTGAATGTACAATTTTTATCATTAATTCAAGGGCATGTTTAATTCCAATATTGATCTTTGATTATTGAAAACTGAATTGCATATGTTTTATCATTCTTATGTTTAGATATTGCATTTTTAAATATTGAAAATAATGAAAATGAATTTTAATATTAGAATACAAAGTTTAAATACAAAGTGTATCTTTGTTCGAAAAAGAAATAAAATTTTTGGTAAAAATTAAATAAATTAATAAGAAGAAAAATATTATGATATTTAGTGATATTTAAAATATTATTAATATTGAAAACACATTTATACATCAAAATCAAATTTGTTAACATTAATAAATATAGAAAAAATTAAAAAAAATTATTTAAATCGTTGCTTTGTTAATAAAAAGAAAGAAATAAAAAATTGCATCCAATGTAACATTGACAAATAATTATTTCACGCGTGATTAAGTCAACAAATGATATTCCTCATAAAGCTATAAGATTATTCTGGAACGTATTACAATAAACATATCATTTAATAATGAATACAAAATTCATACCACCAAGACAAAAATTTCTTCTTTACCGCGAAACACACTCCATAAACTACCATTAATGATTCAATAAATGCCTTAATAAAAGCAAAGAATCAAGTCAAGATTCTGTTATATTCTCTTTTGTATAAACTCATAAATCTAGTTGATCTTCGGCGCATTTTGATATTATGCTATCTTTAGTTCAAAAATATAGATTAAAACACGTAATAAAAGTCTTATAAATTTATCATGTAAATATAGTAATAGAATTTAAATAAAAAAAAATGAAAAATATGTCTTATTAATTATATAATTATATATTATTATTATTTTTTTTTTTTTTTACTATAACATAATCTTTCTGATCTTTTCAAACTGTTGATATAACATGGTCTGACGCTAAACCATCGTGATTGACATCGAATCAACGTTACATAAAGATACTTAGATCGTCTTACAGAACGAGCCAAAGGTGTGAACGTGATAAAAATCCCGAATCAATTTGATTCCGGATAAATAAACGGTTCTTTAAAACAAAAAATCATTCCTCGATATTTTGATAAAAATACATATAATAATGAATAAATGAATTGATTTTAGATACAAGGAAGAAAAATATTAAAAAATAGTAGTAGGAAAAGAAAGTAAGCTTATTTGAAAATTCTGTTACAGAAAACGTGTTAAGTAAAAAGCATAAAATTTTAAAAATCGAATAAACCTTTATTACTATGTTAGTTTATAGAAAGATAATTAAAGAAAGGAAAGATATCGATCAAGAAAAGAGACTAATCGATTATTTTTTATTTTCCTTGTACACTTATTCTTTATATCACAATCAGATATCATCCGATTAGTAATATTGTCACGTTTTTGAATGCATTTTAATGCGTACGTAAAATCATTTATGTATGTTCTTATGTCAGTACGTACACTTCTTGTGACGAGTGTATATAAATGTCTATGTAAGTAAGTGAATACTTTGCACTACAAGCCTAGGCGAAGAGAATAGTTACAGAAATAGCTTATGACTCAATATTTAGACAGCATTTAATACGAACCATGCGGAATTATATTCATTTCTTGTGGTCAAAAATCGATGATCTATTTGACAAATATAGTTCACGCGATTTTTATAAAACATTCATTAATGACCGAAAAATCTTAAGATATTTAAAATCAGGTTTACAAGATTGAAGAGATCCAAAACTCTTTTCAGATTAAAAACTTTTGAAAATTAAAAATTCAGATTTAAAAAATTTCCAAATCACAAGAATTCTTAGCTCTTAGAAATTCTCAATATCAAATTTGCTGATATTTAATAGATGACGACTTTAAATTTTCTTACTTTCTACTTTAAATTACTCTGGAATTAGAAGAAACAAAATAAATGAGAAAATAAAAATTCAGTTGGCAATCTTGCTCAGCGTTACACAAGAGCACAAAAATTCCTTCTTAAGAAAATAACGTTACATTATTCTTATTTTTTGTTTCTTTTCTATTTATATCTACTATATGAATCAATTCTCTGGTTATATTTAATCTTTTTCTCTGAATTTTCTCAAAACAATAATTTCAATCCATCTTAAAAGTGATAACAAGATCAGTTAGTAATCAACAGATACTAGGATAAAATGGCTGCAGTGAATGGGAGCATGTATGGTAAACAATTTCTTCTTATTTTCGACAATTTGAAAAAAATTTGTAAAAATAGAATAATACAAGAGAATTCGTCATATCTCCACATAATGAAGTATTACATCTCTATAAGCATTATATCTCGCTATTTATGTTTGACACTCATTTTGCCTGGTATTTGGCAATTCCGATTCTCTTAGTTTGTTATCTTATTCCCAAAATATAATTTAACATCGGATTCTGTCCGCGTAGAATTCCCTCTAGAAATCCTGCTGCCAACTTTCTGGCTAGAAAAAAAATGACATGATAGAATTACGTATAATGTTCGAAGTAGAAGATATTTCTTTCTAATCATCAGTAATAAGAATTATTTATGAGTTCTTTCTTTTTTGTTCATTATTTTATCGTTTCATTTATTAGTTATAAAATATATATATATTAATTCATTATTTATATGTAAATAAAATAAGGAAATAATAGGGAAATAAAATGAAATTAAAAGCAAAGCCATATTATCGCTGTAAATATAAATTTATTGAAGTCTTACAGTGCTTAGATTGAACAAAAACATACGGCAAACTGAACAATTTAAGTACACCTATATCTTGTCAATAAATTCGCCGTATAAATATTATTTTACACCTATGTAAATTGTGTATGATTTTATTTATGATATATTGTATATGTCTATGTATAATTTATATACAAATCGATATAATGCCGTATATGTAAATATACATATACAATTGATTGTAGAAAATACAAATTATTCTTCACGTTAAATTTTTTT